CCAGTCTGGCTCCACTCTATCCCCGTTTCCTGTACGTATTTTTCATGCCAGTCTGATGATGTTTGAAATTCTATTGAATTAGAAATTGACCAAGATCACCAAAATGGATACAAAATGAATAATCACCGTGGTCCTGTTTGCTGTCTTTTCTGGGAGAGTAAGTCGCATTTGCTTCGTTGACTAGGGTAGGGTGAAGGTGCGTGTGCCTGCACACGTGTGCTCACACTTATGAAAGCATGCTTGATCCTGTTGTAATCTCACAGTGGCTGTACACACAGCATTGTTTTGCTTGGAAAATTCAAATTTTAAAAGCAAAAGACAGTTTACTACTTCCTTCATAAGAACATGGAAATCATTTGATGAATTGAAGGTATTTTTACGTAGCTGGTGTAGTTCTAGCAGTGATTTCTGACCACAAATAATGTCGCACAGTTCATTTTATTTACTTTTGACGTTTTTGCCAGAGGGCTTATGTGCTCTGGAGACGGGTTGTGGGAAGAGGAAAGCGAGGGAGCACGCCCACGGGGGACGGTCAGGCCATGGTTTCTTCTCCACTTATCCCTCTTTAGGAGTTTGGACGTGCATGCACATGCACCCATGTTTTTCAGGTCTCTGGGTCCAGGACTCAAATCACACAGTTGGCCATGTGGGAATTGAGCCACCTTAACCACTGTGCAACCGGCTGGCCCCAATGAAGTCTTTTTTAGTAGCTACCCAATTGTGTGCCCAGTATTAACTGGACCCTAAAGCCAGATATGAGTAGGGGATGGTTATATAAGGGAACCGGCGTTTTTACCATTTTCCAGCTTTGACCGAGGCTGCGCCTTGGTTTCTCATTTCAAACTGGCAGAAGTCTGGGGGAGGTCGCTGCACACAGACACGAGCACATTCCACTCCGAGTTGGGGCTGCCTGTGGCCTTTGATGGGAGGTCCCGGCTTGCAGTCTTTTCCGTCTCTTACAGAGAAGAGTGTTCAGAGACGGGCCAGGTCGCTGTGAGAAGCGGGAAGGTCCGCGTGACCACCTGCTGCGGGCGGTTTCCGAGTTGCTCGAGGAAAGTGGGTTATGCTGCGGTCCACCCCCACCCTCCCTTCAGTGACGTTTACGTGCAGGGCCCCTTGATTGTCCAAACGAAAGAATTGCCTGTGTCTGGGATGGGAAATCAGAGGAAAAAGTCTGTTTGGACGTATTAGTAGGAAAAATGTGCCAGTAAAATAGTGCTAAATTTCAGCTCAGTGAATACCGGTGTGCAGAGAACACCTGGTCTTTGAGGAGCGCAGGCCAGTGGGTGGGAATCAGCTAGAATCGATTGTTCGCTGTTAATCACCAAACTGTACAGTTGCCCTGAATTTCGTTCTCTTCCCGCTTTTCCACTACTCATTTAATAAATGTTTCCAAATAATAAGCTTCTGGGGCAGCCAGGTAGCATGGTGGTTAAGGCAGTGGATCCCACATGGCTGACTCTGTGGTTTAAGTCCTGGGTGTGGTGGCATGAAAAACACACCAAGTATGTGTGTGTACCTGCCAAAATCCTAAGAGGGAACCCACCTAGGAGGGTGTTTTCTCACTCCTTCCCTGGTTTCTTTCCAGTGAGCAAACACACCCTCTAGCCAACAATAAAAGTTAAAGCATCTGAATTAAAAATAGAATATTGGAGCCAGCAGATGGCGTAGCAGCTACGCCACTGGACTCCCACATGGCCGACCAACTACAGTTCGAGTCCTGGACCCAGTGGCTTGAAAACCACACCAGGTGCTTGGTGTGTGTGTCCAAGATCCCAGGAAAAGAAGAGAAGGGATTGTGATATGACCATCCCCTCCGGGGGGTGATTTCTCACTTTCCCTCTCACTGCCCCCACCCCAGAGCACACACCCTGAACAAAACCTCAACAACAACAAAAAGTAGACTACCTTGTTCTTTTGAAATATTCTTTTTTCCTCTTGATTTATAATCTCCTTTTGAAGTTGAATCCGTACTTCCTTTCTGTGTCCTCTGACTGACTTTGCACACCGAGGGCCTTTTCCAGATGAAGATTTTGCAGTGAGGTAAGAAGCCTCTGCTTTAAGGGCCAGCTAAATCAGGAAGAGCTGAGGGGCTGTAGTTACTGTCCTTGGCTTCCTGATGTTCAGGAAGCCCTGATTATGCCGTGGTGTGGCGCTCTGATCGTACTGCGGTAGAGTCTCCGATAATGCGGCCCATGGTCAGAGCAGGTTACTGGGAGAAACGAAGTGGAGCCACACCCTGACCTGGCGGCCTGTCACTCTTGGGTTCTCCAGAGTGCTGTTCGCGCTGGTCTCTACCGCGCCCAGCGACAGCTGGGTTTTCCTATTTTGCGCAGTGCTGCCGGTGAAATCCTCCATCGTCTGTTCCAGCTTTCAACCTGTGCGGCGCACTGGTGACTCGTGGTCTCACGGGGCCACTGGACCTTGGAAATGGGCTGGTTTCACCAAGAAGACTGTGTGTAAAATGCACGCAACCAGATAGCAGAGCCTTAGTGTGAGAGAGGTGTAAAACGTCTCAGCTACAAATCTGCCCACTTACTGTGATTTCTGGTTTACCTGTGTTCTTTGTGTATCTTTGGGGCCATAGTGTGGTTTTTAAGGTACACGTATAGTACATGCTAATTAAGGCTTCCCCATACTCATCTTCAACACTGGCCATTACAGTGTGTACTTTGTTAATAGTTCTAGCCAGTGACAAATTTGATGTCAGTCAGAGGTCGACATGGTATTTTGGCTATTATATATGTAATAATATATGGGTAAAATAAAATCAATTAATTTCAGCTTTTTTAGAGAGAGAGATTTTTGCTATAGGGTGTGTATACTCATCAGAGAGAGACAGAGAGACAGAAAGTGAGAAGTCAGTCCCCCAGGGAGATGGCCGTGCCACAGTCCTGTACCCCGTGGGAATTTTAAGCCACCAGTCTGGGACTTGAACCATGGTCGACTATGTGGGAGTCCAGCGATGTAACCATTATGCTATCTGCTGGTCCCTTAGCCTTTTTTTTTCAATTGTCAGAGGGTGCCTGTGTTTGCCAGAGGGGGTGGGGCGTGGTCATGCCACAGTCTCTTCTCCATTTCTCCATCATGTCAGGATTTTGGACACACACACACACACACACACGCACACATGCACACGCACACGGCATGTTTTTTTAAACTGCTACGGCCGAGAGAGTCGAACTGTGGTTGGCCATGTGGGATCTGACTTTCCTTAGCCACTGGGCCATGTGGTGGACTATTGTTTTTACTTTTTAAGTTGGTACCAGGAAAACTTGGGTTTTTTTGGATAATTTAAATAGAAAACTTGTCTTATTTGATGTACATGGCAGTACTTTTTTATGTAAATAGCTCTTTTTTCTGATTTATTCAATTATGCTTTTTTCCCACACTTTATTGATTCACAGTAGTTTTTTTTTTTTTTTTTTGGAGAGGTTTTTGCTATAGGGTGCGTGCACTCACCAGAAAGAAAGAAACAGAGAGACAGAAAGCGAGAAATCACCCCCCTGGGGGATGGCCACGCCACAGTCCCTTCTCCATTCTCCTGTTGGGATCTTGGGCACGCACGCACACGCACCCAGTGTGAGTTTAAGCCACCGGGTCTGAGAGTCGAACCACGGTCAACTACATGGGAGTTCAGCGACATAGTCATTATGCTAACTACTGGTCTCGATTTGCAGTAGATCTTAATCAGTCTAAGTACTTTGAACGGTAAGTGCAGCTGATATAACCCTTCTGCCTATATGTGACGTTAGGTGTAGAGCTCGGTGAGTAGGATCACCGTCTAGGAGGTAGCACCTATGTAAGGTACACTGTAAGTATAACTTGCTATGCACATTAAGTAGTTTTTTTTTTTTTTTTTTTTTTTTGAGAGGTTTTTGCGATAGGGCGCGTGCGCTCGCCAGAGAGAGAGAGACATAGAGACAGAAAGCGAGAAATCACCGCCCAGAGGGGATGGTCACGCCGCAATCCCTTCTCCTCCATTCTCCTCTCGGGATCTTGGGCACGCACGCACACGCGCCTGGTGTGAGTTTTAAGCCACCGGGTCTGGGACTCGAACCACAGTCGACTATGTGGGAGTCCAGCAACATAGCCATTACACTAACTGCTGGTTCCAAAATAGGAATTTTTTTATGTTTTTTTTTTTTTTTTTTTTAATTTCAAGAAAAGGAGTTTGAGCTTTAGTAAGTCAAAATCAAAAAAATGTTAAGAAAAATTTGAGTAATACTTACCAGGAAACAGGTTAGGATTCTGTTCAAACAGTGAGTAGATACTGAAAATTCAGAAAACAGATATGGACAAAGCATGCGCTCACCTGAGAAAAACGGAGAGAGAAAAGTGAGAAGTCAACTTGGGGGGTGGCCACAATCCCTTCTCCATTCTCTTCTCCTCCATCTTGGAGCACGCACGCACACCCACCTGGCGTGACCCTGGAGCCAGCAGGTCCGGGACTCAAACCATAGTTGGCCATGTGGGAGTCCAGCAATGTAACCACTGTGTCATCTGCTGGTTCCCAGTACCAGGAAATTTAAAATGACATGTATGGGGCTGGTTCCGTGGCCTGATGGTTAAACCAACCAGATCTCACCTGGCTGACCCCCCTTCAAGTCCTAGACGCGGTGGCTTGGGGAGCACACCAGGGCTACGTTTGCATGCCCACCATCCAACAGGACGGAGAGGCGGAGGAGAAGGGACTGTGGTGTGGCCACTCCCCATGGGGGATGCTTTCTCCTCTCCCTCCCTAGCGAGGACATGCGCCCTCCGGTGGAAGGGTTTTTAATTACCCTGTGCCTTGCCTTCAGTCTCTTGGCCTGTGCTGCCCAAGGCAGTTCTGTTTCTGAGGGGCCCCAGGTTCATTGAGGAAGAACCCACTCTTATTTTATATTTTTGGCAGGTCAGTGGTTTTGCCACCACTTCCAGGGAATGATTGTGGTCGCATCCATCTGGTGATTCCTGGCTAGCGGTGGTGCTGCCATCTGTGATCTGTTTTGTCTTTCTAGTGATGATGGCCAAAGAGAAGCCACCAATAACCGTGGTCGGAGATGTTGGAGGACGCATCGCAATCATAGTGGTACGGGCACGTGTCATCTTTTGAGTGCAGGTGACAGACACTACTGGCTCATAGGAGGCTGTCCACTCTCAGGTTTTATTTCTAGTGACAGTGGTAGTTTAAAAGGCGATAGCAGGAAACTTTATAGAGATGAACAGGGATTAAACAGAGCACCGCACCACCCGTAAGAAACTCTAGCACCATAACCTTCATCTTACGGGTCCTAGGCCCCTCAGCCCGGCCCGCCTGCTCACGCCTAGCGTTAGGGCCTGGCTGACCCACAGTTGAGCTGGTCCATGTTCACGGGTGAGGATGAGCGTCCCAAGGCAGGTGCGTTCTTGGTTTTGAGTAAGCTTCTTCCTTAGTGGCTCACCAGTCCTTTACACTAGACCCCTTTACTTCTGTTTTCCTCTCTTGTAAAAGAATGATGCGGGACCCTGGTGACACGAGATGCACTGGCTAGTGAGCCTTGGCAGCCCTCGGCCCTGGCTGTGCCGTCCAGTATGTTCGGTTGGCGGGCTCCCCTGCTCTTGGCACGGCAGACACACGGGGACAGGCAGGGCACTTGGGTGTGCATGTTCCGGTGTTCAGCCTTTGACCCAGACACACAGCTGACGGTCCACGGGAGCCTTCTGGGACAAGTGCGCCAACGAGCAGAGAGGACGAGTGGGTCTGCACAGCCCGGGGGCTTCATCCCAGCTCTGCCCTCCCAGGATGACATCATCGATGACGTGGAGAGTTTCGTTGCTGCCGCCGAGATCCTGAAAGAGAGAGGAGCTTACAAGATCTACGTCATGGCCACACACGGCATCCTCTCCGCAGACGCCCCCCGCCTCATCGAGGAGTCCTCCATCGACGAGGTCGGTCTGCTGCTCCTGGGCCTGGCTGGGCAGGCCTGAGCCGAGGCTGGCTGCGGTACTTTCTGTGGACGGTCCAGTGGCTCAGTGTGTAAAATTGTTCGTCTCTCTTCTCTGGTCTGGGGGGCGGTGTATATTAGGAGTAGTCTGCAGAGGTTTGCCTCAGACGTCATTAGGCACCTCAGCAGCGCTTCTGGACACCTGGCTTCTTCCCCGGAGGTCTTGCACACTGCCGGCCCGCGTCTGCGCACTGGCCCAGGGCGAGCGCCCGCGCCCTCCCTCAGCCACCTGCCTTCCCAGCGTAAAGCCTTACGATTAGTTCATCAAAGCTGCACTCGGGGAGCAAGCTGCTGCGGTTTGGAATGTGGACTGTGGGTGAGGGTTGTTTGGGCCACTTGTCTGAGCCCCCCTTGGGACACAGTCAGTAAGCGCTGCTTTTCTGTTGCTGTCCAACTAGGTGGTGGTGACGAACACTGTCCCTCACGAGATACAGAAGCTGCAGTGTCCCAAGATCAAGACTGTGGATATCAGTTTGATTCTCTCGGAAGCAATTCGGAGAATCCACAACGGAGAGTCCATGGCCTACCTTTTCCGAAACATCACTGTGGATGACTAGCTGGCGGCAGCCTGGCCCCCTGGCGTCCGTGCTCAGAGCAGCGCCGTCAGTGACGTGCAGTTTCCGTTCAGGGGAGGACCGGAGCGAGTCTGGAGCCCGGTGGTTTCTCTCGCCACGACCGTTGAAGACGGGAGAGGAGCGAGTGCGGGGGTGTGACAGCCTTACAGCCTGCGGGCGTCAGCCTTGTTCCTTAGAAGTTACAGGCGCTTTCCTTTATTGAAGGCAGTTAAAGCTAGAGAGAATCCCGTTTTCCTTTCAGAAACTGCCGTGGCTGCAGCCATTGCCCTGCAAAGCCTTTGTGCCATGGCTCCTCGCAGGACATCCGATTAGAGAACAGCCCCCTCCCTGGTGTCTCTGTCGCTCTGAAGTTGCAAATAAAAGATTTCTCGTCTCTCTGGTCCCTTCACTACACTGCAGAGCAGCCCGCCCCCTGCCTAGATGGTGGCCGACTTCTGCCCAGACTGCCCAGGGTGGCAGCTGGTACGGACCATGGTCAGGCTGTCTGACCAAAGCCCAAGCCCGGGCCTTGGTCTCCCGCAGGTCTCGTCCTTCCCCGCGACAGGCACCTGCACTGTCATAGCTGCAGTCCTGCCTCCGTGGTCAGGAGGCCTCACCGCGTGTGGAGTGGTGCTGTACACCCTTGGGGTGGATCCGAGCGGAGGGAGCAGGCATGTCTGCTGGGAAGTAAGCCTGCGTGGCTCATAGGTCCTGGCAGCTCCAGAGAAGCAGAAGCCACGTATTTGAAACTTGGGTTTCCATTTGCTTTTAAATTTTTATTTATTTAAATTTGACCAGAGAAAGAAAGAAGGAAAGTGAGAAAGCAGGCCACTGGGTCAGGACTTGAGTCACAGCCGGCCTTGGGTCCAGAGGAGTCCAGCACCTTCACCACTGTGCCCCCTGCTGGCCCTGTGTCGCTATACTCACATTTCTCCACAGGGATGGTCCTTTGCACTAGCCTCCCTTCTCTGATGACTAGCTCAATCAAGTATCTGAGCACATTCGCTCTTTCTTTTTTTTTGGAGAGGTTTTGTTTTGCTGTAGGGCACGTGCGCTCACCAGAGAGACAGAAAGCGAGAAATCACCCCCCAGGGAGGATGGCCACGCCGCAATCCCTTCTCCATTCTCCTCTGGGGATCTTGGGCACACACGCGCCCGACATTAGTTTAAGCCGCTGGCTCCAGGACTCGAACTACAGTCGACTACATGGGAGTCCAGCAACATAGCCATTACACTAACTGCTGGTCCCATTTTTTAAAGAGATTTTTGCTACAGGGCGCATGTGCTCATCAGAGAGACAGACAAAGTGAGAAATCCCCCCCGGGGGATGGCCATGGCACAACCCCTTCTCCATTCTCCTCTCAGCGTCTTGGGCACGCCTGCCACCCATGCCCAGCGTGAGTTTTAAGCTGCTGGGCCTGGGACTCAAACTGCGGTCGACTACATGGGAATCCAGTGACGTAACCATTAGGCAGTCTGCAGAGGTTTGCCTGGTCCTGCACATTTGCTTTTTCAAGCGCACAAGTTATCTTCTGTAAATGTTCAAGTAGGGAAACTCGAGCAAAATAATTTAAAAAGTTAGTGTGGTGGTACAGGAAGAACTGTGGCCATTAATCAGGAGAACTGCTTTTTTTTTTTTTTTTTTTTTTTTTTTTTAAAATT